CGCGCGGTGTGGGACGCAGCACTGTTTGCAAGGACAGCGACTGATGATGTTTTTGAGGGTTCAGAAGTCGATCCTGTAGCGGAATTCCCGTGGAGTGGACGCAAAATACATATCCGCCGGGGGCAAGGAGCTGATGAACCCCATCCAACTGACTGGTGAGTGTTGTATTCTTAGAGTTACCATCCGATAAGATGACGAGGTCAAAGGTTTCATCCGGGAACTGCTGGCTTAAAAAAGCCGTCTTGTCATAAGCCAGTAAACGAAACCTTGAATCATGATTGCTCGTTTGTCCAGCAGGTAAGCTGGATGCATCTTTCTCGGTGGCCTCGGACAAATGAGTGTAGGATTGAAACGGCGCCGCCAGACCAGCCACGACAGCATCCGTAATATATTTTTGCGGTTCACCCAACGTAATTTCCAGCACCCGAAGTTGAGGGAATCGGTGACTGATCTGCGACACCGAGGTTCTGATGTGACTTTGTAGCGCGCTCTGCTCGTTGAAATTCATGAGTATCTCCGTGATTGCCGTTGGCAGGCGAGATGGCGCCGTGCGGCCACACGAGATGAGAAGCTCCAAATAACCGCGGAACGGTGAGTCTGCCAACCCGATTTGCATGGCCTCTGGAGTCTGTTGAGGCTTGCCTGCTGTACGATCGGGGTGCAAGAAGTGGTCGGCGATGCGCATGCACGCACGCTGCAGAGCCACGTATTCCTCATTGATGCCTTCTGTCCTAGTCTCGACAATCCCGGTGTACGGGTCTGGCTTGTATACCGTCTCAATGAACAGCTCACAGTCGTTTGCCGGGCCAGTAGAAGATAACGCGACTACTGTGAGACCCTCGACCTGCACCTCCATGTTACCATTGGCGTTGAAGACGCAGATATCCCCCGAGAAGTTGGCGGGGGACTCGGGGGATGCTGAAGAGAACTGGGTAATCACCGCGTCCACGTTCACCGTTGCGGCTGGGCTAGGTTTCACAGGACACAGGTCCGGATTGAAGCGTATATTCTGGATTTCCTGCGGGAGAAACGAGGTCCAGAGTGACCCGTCGCCCGGAGCAGCATAGGCAGCAAACGCAGCCTGGAAACATGCATCCAGAAGCGATGGAGCAACGGGAAGGGTCGAGGTCTCAGCAGGATGTGGCTTTGGCAGTGTCCCTGTTGCGAAGTCTAGACGTCGCTGAAGCGATGTCATTGCACGGAACGGTCCTGTGTAACCCAGTCCGATATCCTTAATGGAACCGTAAAATTCATCGAGATCCACCCGATTCAAGCCAGAAGGGGGGGTAAGACTCCTCCGAGGCAGAGTCTCCGCGGAGGGCTCGCCCAGGTGCAGGTGAACCATTCCCTTGACAGCATTCGTGCCCTGAGCGTCAGCATCGCCCGGGACAAAGTCTAGGATAAACGACGCTGAGATGACACTTTCACCAGGAACAGTCGGCTCTTTTCTGAGCATGAATATTGTCTCGATGCCCTGAGAGTCATCGCTCATGGTGATGCCTCGCTTGATCAATAGATTCTGGATTTCTACCAACTTGACCGGTTTGCTGGTCAATGCTCGGGCAGCCTCAAATGCCATGACACAATATGCTGCAGCAGGGACGATGATCTGGTCCTGGAAACGATGATCCTTGAGCCACGGGAGCGTGCTTGGTTTCAACAAGTTTCTCCAGCGCCATTCTGATTCCGTGTCGTCGCTGGTCCGCACCCCTAGTAGCTCATGAGGACGGGCAGGGCGGTTGAGGTATTGTTTGGCCATCCGGGGCTGTCGATGATACATGTGGGTGTGGTCCCAGGGATAGGAAGGAAGATCCTTGACCACCCGGCAATCCGACCTCTCATTGCCCAGTGCCACAGATAAGGCATGAAAATTGATCGAAGAGCTACCCAGCAGACTCCAAATGAGCCCCATTGTCGAGATGACGGAGGTCAGGTCATCCCGACCGCGGTGCAATAAGCCAGCATAGGGCAACGCCGATCCATTGACCTCCTGCATGGTCTGGACAGCAGGACCCTGAAGCGCAGGATGAGGTCCGATTTCCAGCACCATGTCAAAGGGGCCTTCTTCTGTCAACGCACGGGTCACCGCTTCGGTGAAAAATACCGGTTGCACCATGTTGTCTTTCCAATAGCGGCCTGACAGTTCTCGGAGCGTGGGAGCGCCCGATGGCCCATACACACTGGACACCCAGACACATGAACGCGTGGGGCTCATGGGTGTGATTTCAGCTGTCTGTAGGGACTGAAGGTAAGGAGCGGCACACCGATCCATGTGATGAGAATGGTATGCAGTGTCAACCTTCAGGAGTCTAGCAAACGTGCCTCGTTCATCGAGCAATGCTTTGGCTTGTTTCAAGGGCTCCAAATCTCCACTGATGGTGACACTTGCCGGGGAGTTACTGGCTGCAATGTGAAGGTGATCAAGGAAAGCTGGCTGTTCACAGAATTCAAGCGCCTCATTCACCCCCATCCCAACCGCCATCATCCCCCCGCGCCTTCCTTCTGGCCCTTGTGCCAAGCCAGCGTGAAAGCCTCGATAATATGCGATGAGGATCGCGTCGGGAGCCGTCAGGATACCTGCAGCATAGGCGGCAGCAATCTCGCCCGAGGAGTGGCCCACTGCAGCCGCCAACTCTACTCCAGCCTGATGAAGGATGTCAATCAGAGCCATCTGAATAGCGGTACACAGTGGTTGAGACAGAGCTGCCTCGCTCAAACGCGATGATGTAGGCGGAGCAAGAAGTTCTTGTTCAATGGACCACACGGGCGGATCCGGACATGACTGGAGAACGACATCGAGACTCTGAATGACCTCCCTGAAGCGCGGGGACCTCTGGATGAGTTGCTGGCCCATTTGGGGCCACTGGGCACCCTGTCCGGTGAAAATCCCCAAAATGCGACCGCGGTCATGATTGACGGTCTTGGATCGTACCCCAAATGACGAGCTTCCCTCGGCCGTCTGCAGTCGCTCTCGCATCTCTTGGAGCAACCTTTCTCGCCCGGCCACTGGGGAGAAGGACACACGATACGGGAGCTCTGATCGACGCGTCGCCAGTGTCCATGCCAGGTCATGGAGATCGATCTCGGGCTCGGACTCCAGCAACTCAATGTAGTGTTTGACCTTGTCTTTGAGCGCTTCGGCTGAGTTGGCCGACAACACTAAAGGAGATCTGGGAGGATGCTCCGTCGGCCTTTCCAGGCTGACAGCTAGATGCCCCCCGTGAATGGCTGGGACGTAGCTCTCGAGGATGGCGTGGCTGTTAGTGCCGCCAAAGCCAAAGGAGTTCACACTGGCACGCAGCGGATGACCGGGTCGAACACTCGGCCACGGGGTGAGGGTATTGGGAACATGTAATCGCCGTGCAAAGGGAACCACGCGTGGGTTCATGGACTTGAGATGTTGGTTGGGTGGGACTTGGGCGTGTTTTAGGGCAAGAGCCGCCTTCAAGACTCCGGCCACGCCCGCCGCCCCTTCCGTATGTCCGATGATGGTCTTGATCGACCCTACAAGAATCGAACCGTCTTCTTGTAGTTCTTCATCCTCACCAAAAAAGGCCTTGTAGATCGCTTCTGCTTCCGTTGGATCGCCCGCTTGGGTTCCCGTACCATGCGCCTCGAAGTACTGGCAGCGATGATCCGGGTTCAGGGCGTCGAGCCCAGACCTGCGGTAGGTGTCCTGGATCAGAGCGGCCTGAGCCAGGGAGCTGGGCATCGTGATGCCTTTGGTGCGCCCATCGGAGTTGACTCCGGTCTCGCGAACAATACATTCGATATGATCCCCGTCCGCAAGGGCCCGAGAGAGCGTCTTGAGGAACACCACGCCGACGCCTTCGCCTCGGGCATACCCATCAGCAGACTGATCCCACATCTTCGACTTTCCGTCCGGAGACAGCATGTGCAAGCTTGACTCGCAGATGAATGGCTCTGGACTCAGCATCAGGTTGGCTCCGGCGACACATGCCATGGTACTCTCCCCGCTCCGCAGGCCCAGAACCGCCTGATGCATGGCGACTAGGCTGGAGGAGCAGGCGGTATCGATCGTCATGGACGGGCCGTTCCAGTGAAAGAAGTAGGAGACGCGGTTAGAGATGATAGCCCGCGAGGTGCCCGTGGCGCAATATTGGCTGAAGGTGAGTTCGTCTTTGCCTGTGAGAATGTCGTAGTCGGCCGTCATGGTGCCGACATACACACCGATCTGCGACCCTGAACAGCCTTCCAAGGTCAGGCCGGCTGATTCTAGGCCTTCGTAGACGGCTTCTAACAACACTTTTCCTTGGGGATCAATGGCCTCCGCCTCCTTCGGGGTGATGTTGAAAAATGTGCTGTCGAATCGTCGTGGGTCTTCCTCTAGCCAGTAGCCATTCGGGGCATTGGTGGTCCCATGATGCTCGCCGTCCGGATGGTGAAATCCATCCACATTGAATCGTCCCTCTGGTACTTGCTTGGTAAGATCGTATGGGTTTCTTAACAGTTCCCATAGCTTGGATGGGGAAGTGGAACGGCCTGGAAAGCGGCAGGCACTGCCAATGATTGCAATGGGCTCGGAGGAAGATGGAATGTAGGCCATGGCATGAGAGAGAGGGGGTGAGTGAATGACTTGTTTGGAGGAGAATAGTAGATCTGCTTTGCGCATGAAGCATGAGCACTACGTCTGTCGATTGAGGTAGATATCTGAACTGGTGGCGAAGCAACCTAAGCAATGACCGAGCCGCGCGGCGTGGAACCGTGCCCATCACCGAATCCTGCAAGATCGTTCGAATCAGCGTGAAGTTGAGCTGATCGGAAACGATGGGGTCGGACCGTGTTCTTGCTCACTCTGAGTAGGAGAGTATAAAGCATCGCCGACTTGGAGTGTTGAAGGATTCGGTGTAGGTTGGGTGCCCCGAACGCCGGCTGACGCTTATCCGTGTATCTTCGCCTCTGAGGAACAAAAGCCCGAACCATTCCGACCGTGGCTTAGAGGAGGTTGAATGGAGCCTTTATCCATCAACCAAGGAAACTTTTGTTAACGACTGCATTCCTCAGTGAACATGGAGGACATTGTGAACAGGCTCTATGCCTTCGATTGGAGGTCATTGTCTCTTGGTTCCGTTCCAGCTCCAACTCCAGCTCCTGCCCCTCAGTCATCTGCCGTCCAACGTCTCATAGCATGGTGGGATCAGTCCAAAGACAGTATGCAGCAGTACTCAGTGGCGTCTGTCGCCATAGTGGGGTTCACTGCTCTACTCGTCAGCGTGGCTTTGTATCGTGCACTTTTCTCGCAGCGTCAACGCCATGATCCTTTGAATCAGGGCTGCCAGCCTCTACGCATGTACCCGCACAAAGACCGGATTTTCGGTCTCGACTTTGTCTATCAGAATGTGACTACCTTCCGTCGCCACAAGTACCTGGAGACCCTGAAGAACCGTTACCAAACCTTGGGGACCACCTACGGGGTGCGTGTCTTCAACCGTCGAGGCATTCTCACGTCCGACCCCGAAAACATCAAGACAATCCTGTCGACGCGATTCAAAGACTACTCCCTTGGCAATCGTGTCCCTATAATGGGCCCGCTGCTGGGACGCGGGATCTTCGTCAGTGACGGGCAGGACTGGTCGCACTCGCGGGCCTTGCTCCGCCCCAACTTCGTCAAGGAGCAGGTGGCCGACCTGCAGATGATCGAAACGCATCTGGCGCAGCTGCTGAAGCTTATCCCATCCGACGGCCGAACCGTCGTCGAGCTGCAAGACCTCTTTCTCCGGTTCACCTTGGACTCGGCGACCGACTTCCTCTTCGGCCACTCTCTCCATACCCTCAGCCGCGGGACAGCCAAAGACCAGCAATTCGGGCAGGCCTTCGCCCTTGCGCTGGACGACATTGCCCTCCAATTCCGCCTGGGTCCATGGCGCGCGCTTCGCCGGCCCAACAAGGATGCGCTGGCAGCGTATGAAATCTGCCGAGGATATGTGGAAGGCTTCGTGGCGGATGCCATCGCCTATCGCCAAGGGAAAGCGAGTTCGGCTGGTGATAAAAACACCTCAGACCGTAGCTATTTCCTGAAGGAGCTGGCGCAAGCCACCGACGACCGGGATCGAATCCGCGATGAATTGCTGAACATCCTCATCGCCGGTCGAGACACCACGGCGAGTCTGCTGGGGAGTCTGTTTTACGTGCTCGCCCGCCACCCCGAGGTGTGGCAGAAGCTCCGCAGTGAGGTCGCGACTCAATTGCAGGGGGCAGCTCCCAACTACGAGCAACTCCGCAATCTCCAGTACACGCGGTACTGCATCAATGAGACCCTGCGGCTGTATCCGCCCGTTCCCAACAATACAAAGATGGCTGTCTGTGACACGATCCTTCCGCGGGGCGGGGGCCTCAAGGGGGATGCCCCCGTGTTTGTCCCCAAGGGTTGCACCATGATCTACACGGTGTATGCCATGCATCGTCGAACAGATCTGTTCGGCCCTGACGCTGAGGAATTCCGCCCTGAACGATGGGTCACGCAAAGATTCTCCTGGGTAAGAGACTCTTTTCTTCGCGACGTTACACCGTGTTGGACAGCCGCAAGCTCACTATGAACCTTGTTTTTTTAGGAATTTCTCCCTTTCAACGGGGGGCCGCGGATTTGTCTCGGGCAACAATATGCGTTGACGGAGGCGATGTACGTCCTGGTCCGGTTCGCGCAAACATTTCAGACGATCGAGGCCCAGGATCCTGCTCCCTGGACCGAGCAGCTTACTCTCACCCTCTCATCCAGCAATGGCGTCAAGGTTAGATTGAAGGGGGCCTGATTGTCTTCCAGGTAGTGTTAGGCTAGACTTTACGCGTGTTCGAGGATGGAGTGTAGCCTACGCATCTCAGAGATGTTTCAATGCATCCTGTAAGCCAATGGAAGTAATTACTGTTTCGTCTTACACTTGCTTCCATGTTAGAAATCACGATCGTGGAGGGTCGAAGGTAGTGGGCATAAGCACTAGTAGTGTCGGTGTCGTAGCTGAACACCTCCGTGCTTATATCATGCAAAGCATGCAAGCAATGGGCCAAGCATTCATAAGCAAACACAAGCACTTTCCTGGGCGGTTATTCAGGAATCACTCATTATGAGTACGATGAGGAAGACGAGAATTCACTTGACAAGGCAGCCAACCGGGTGGCTTACCGTGAGGGAAACGAGCCCGTGTGAGTAAATGTGAATAAGTCCGGAAATCATCTGGTTGACTAATCATATATCTTCAACCCCCCTCTTCTCCTGCACAGACGGCTGAAGTTGAATGTCAAATTGCCGGAGTCGGTGATCTGAAATCCGATCGTGCTTCATCAAACATTGATTGTTGCCTTCCAAAACACATTCTCCAAGGTTCTCGTCTCACCCCGAGCGGGGAAACCAGCGCCACCAATGCAGATAAGCAGCAGGGTCTCCGCCTGAAGCATCATTCTACATCATTCTAGCCCCGTCAGGTTAGATGCACGTCATGCTTCAGCCCAATCACCAGTCGTCGGGGTCTGTTGGCCTGAGACTTGTGCCATCATTAGGCTATTTTGCTCATTCGAATGTGTTTTCTGGTCTCGGGGATAGGAATTAGTCTCACTCTTAGTGCCGACCCGGCCCTGCTACGCAAGCATCTCCTCGGATTTCAGCTTCTCTACTAGATAGGCCAGGATATGCATCCCCTAGGCCTCTTCCATCCTTCTAGTCAATTCTTCCGTCGTGCATCAACTACATGGCTGCTTCAACGAGCCAGCTAGTCCCTTTTTAAATCACAACCACGCCAAAGATCCTTCACCAAATTCAAACCCCTCGTATCATTCCCGGATGGCTTGCAACAACACAGTGCACCGGTCGCCCCGCGCAGGGGTCATGATCCCCCTCTTCTTCAGCGCCTCTGCAGCGCCTCCTCCGATGTAAGCACTGTCTCTGTTTGCTCAATCACATCTGACATGCCTACCGAGACAGCGAGCGGGTTCCTTCGGCCACCCATTCTCACACAACGACCCCGCCGGATCACCGTGGGGTCCAAAGGTAGCATCGTTTCTAGAGCGTGAGAAAACACAAAGCCCCAAGAGCGAAAGATGCATACAAGAATACCGGCAACCGCACGGGCACAGACGCTAGGGAGGGGTGTTTTGTGAGAAACCTGTGTTATTGTCGCCCACCAGAGAAAGCTTACTAGGGGGTTGGGCTGCCCTTTTGTATTACACATCAATCGGAATTAGACCTTTGTACACGCTCCCTGTACTTTTTCGTTGTCAAACCGGCCTATTCTCTCTCTACCTCTAAGAAAGTCTATCCCATAATGCCGCGGCACGAGCGCGGAGGCTCGGGACCCTCCTCGTCGGATCTTCGTCTGCGCAAGGCCTGCGATCGGTGTCATGCGCAGAAACTGGGATGCCAGCGGGAGGCCATTGGGGCCAAGTGTGTGCGGTGCGAGAAAGCTGACAAGCCGTGCACCTGGAGCATCTCCCTTCGGAACCGTCGTGCTTCGACGCGCAAAGAACAACTCCCGATGCACGCCCAGCAGCAGCAGCAGCAACAACACCAACACCAACCACAATATGCTACAATAGCAAGAAATGACAAGGAAGAACAAGCACAGGAGGACGACGATGTTGAGGAAGAAGATGAAGACATACTCTACAGCGACCAGCCCACGCCTTCTGAGGTCATACCGGAGCTTCATTCCCCTCTAGGAGACCCTCACAACAGATTGGCCTCCGAATCACTCGATCCAACCACTATGCCGATAGATCTCACGTCCTTTCTGATATCCGATGGGAGCTTGGGGTTGATGACGCCGTCGTTAACCAACCCTGGCTCCTGGCTGGGTGAGACACAGTTGGGCACCACCGCCACCACCACAACCGGTACCGCAACCCTAATTGGAGAGCCACCGGGGTTCTGGTCATCAGCAACTGGGGGACTACCGCAAACTCCCTCAGCCGGTCAACCGACCACCATCGATTTGCCCTCAGCCGAGTTTGAGATGAATCTACCGGGTGTTCCACCGTCCTACACTTCGCGCCACCAACCAGAGCCACCGCCACCACCGACAATCGGCACACCCGCCCTCCCCGACCCGCAATGGCTGAAAGAGCTCTTCGACAACAATGCCCGACTGTACCGGAACTGGCACGCCGTCTCCTCCAACGTGACCGCCAATCAGACCACCAACCCCCTGTTCCCAACGAGCACTACAAGCCACAGCCATCCAAGCTCAGCAGCCTTCGCTGACGAAGCCGTCCAACTCTCCACCCAGCTAATTCACATTCTCCGTGGGCTCCTCCACCAGCACCACGAGTCAAACGGTCACCGACCACCGACCACACCAAAACCCAGGGCCCATGCAGAGGACCTGGATCCCGACCACTCAGGCCTAGACCCAGGCTCCTTACTCATCGTCCTGTCCTCGTACTTCCGCATCTTAGAGATTTTCACCATGCTATCGCACGCCCTGGAGGCTGCTGCGGCCGCCACAGGCTCTACCACACATTATCGCACGCCAAGATCCACTCCACCGGTCGTGCGACTCCCGGCCATCGTAGTAGGGTCGCTCGATCTCGCGTCCAACACCTCGCTGTCCACGGTGTTGTTCCTGGAGGTGATCGAGGATCTGTTGACCACTTTGGCCACGCTGGTTCTCTCTATCGCGCAGTGGCCGTCGCATCCTCATCATGCAACGTCACGTCGTGAGCCTGGTTGGCAGGGGAGTGACCTGCACGCGGGTTCCGATCGCTTAGGGCTTCAGATTCAGGGCAAGGAGGATGAGATCCGGCGGGTCATTCGTGCGATTCGCGCGAGGTTGGGGAGGAAGGGGGATAAAGTTAGGGTTTGATGTAGACACGACATACTCGATTTGATATGGATGGGAGTTCTCTTTCTATCCGCTTTACGATGAGAACATACACTTACGGCGTAACTATGACACATTTTCGGCTTTAATCACAGCAACAAGCTCTGGATAGATACAAAACTCCTTCCATCAATTTTTATACTATCAATGTACATGACATATTTGCATCGCAACACGCCCGCAATCCACAGAGACCGAAAGAGTAGACATTGACCACGGCCCATACAACAGTAAACTGTCTGTCCCCTCTTTTCCTTACCATCGACTGTAACCATTCCCACAACCACTACTATTCTCAAGCCAAGACACCACCACCACCAGTATCACCACCACCACACCTCCCACCTCAACATCAAACTTTCTCCCCCTCCTCCACCTCCACCTTCAGCACCCCAACTCCCCCCGAAGCCAACACCCCCTCCTCCCCAGAGCCCTCACTCGCCGAAGCTCCCGGAACCGCCGCCTCCACCCTCCCAGTCTCGACATCCTTCTCCCTCGCAGCAGCTTCAGCATCCGCACCCGCCGCATTCACCCCCTCCCGCTCCCTCTTCTTCCTCTCCTCCAACCCGGAATCCCCCTGCTCCGCCGACGTCCGCATGGGAATCTCCTCCTCGAGCAACGTCAACACCAACGCCACCGCACAAAACGCCAGACAAACCTCCCACACATTCCGCATCGCACTCGTATACGCCGCCACCACCTCCTGCCTCACCCCGTCCGGCAACGCCTTGATATACGCCGCTGAGACATGCGAATACGCGCCACCGCCCTCCAGCTGCCCCCTCACCGCCGCATCCGACACGCGGGACTGCACGTAATACGAGACTCTGCTATTGAAAATCGCGGAGGGGATCGCAATGCCCCAGATGCTCCCGAAAGCACGCAGATACGCCCATGTCGCCGAGGCGGGCACCAGGTCCTTGGGAGGGTTTGCGCCCTGCACGGCGGGGAGGAAGGTGGTCAGCAGGATGCCGCCGCCGAAGCCGGCGATCATCTGGTAGAGGACGACTTTGGCGAGGGAGGAGTCCGCGTCGTAGTCGATGTAGAGCCCGGTGCCGAGGGTCATCAGGGCGTAGCCCAGGATGTGGATGGGTTTGTAGCGACCGAAGTGCGAGAGGGCGAAGCCGGATAGAATGGCGGCGGGGGCGGCGATGAGGACGCTGGGGAGGAGGAGGACGCCTGAGCGTTGCGGGGAGACGAGGAGGACACCTTGGAAGTAGACCGGCAGGAAGTAGGAGCGCCAGTAGGTGAGCATGGAGGAGAGGAAGGTGTTGATCAGGGTGACGGCGCTGGTGCGGTTGCGGAACAGCCGGCCGGGGATGGTGGGCACGCGGCAGAAGCGCGGCCAGGCTTCGAAGGCGTGGAACCCCGCCAGGCCGGCGAAGCCGAGCAGGAAGGGCACGAGGATGTGCCAGTCGGACCAGGCGTAGACGGTGTCGGCCCAGGAGAGGGCGATGAGGATGGCGATCATGGCGCCGATCAGCATGCAATTGCCGATCCAGTCGATCTGCCGGATCTTCTGCGCGAAGGTGAACACCTTCCGGAAGGTGACCTGCAGGAAGATAAACTGCAGCACCAGCGTCACCCCGCCCAGCGGCAGGTTCAGCCAGAACACCCAGCGCCAGTGCCCGCTCTGCGCGATCGCGCCGCCGATGACGGGCCCGATCGCGATCCCGATCCCGAACGTCCCGAAAATGATCCCCTGGTACTTGCCCCGTTCGCGCACCGACACCAGGTCGCTGATGATCAGGTTCGTCATCGTTCCGATCCCCGCGCCCCCCAGCCCCTGCACCAGACGGCCTGCGATGAGCATCGCCGTCGAGTTCGCCCCGCCGCTGATCCCGCTGCCCAGCGTGAAGATCGCCACGGCCACCATCGCCGGCCACCGGCGGCCGAACACCTGCGCGAACTGCCCGTAGAAGGGGATGAAGACCGTCGAGGTCAGCAGGTACCCGTTGACGAACCAGGTATAGTTGGACCCGGCGTTTAGGGAAGAGGTGATCTCGGGCAGCGAAGTCGACGTGACGGTCGATTCGAGGGCTGAGAAGAGGGTGGCGATGCACAGAGGAGGGAAGACGGTCCAGAACCGCCAGCCTCGCGCGGCGGGCTGCGGTAATGCAGGGGGACGTTGTTGCGCTGGCTGACTCATTGTGTTGGTGGTGAGGATTTGCAGGAATTAGGGTAGCATAGTTGAATTGCTGGGACTGGACAAGACGGGGAGGATGGCTGTTTAAACCCCGTCTCTGCTCTAGATTCCTACTCTACTTGGGTTTCAGGGGAAATCGGCGTTGGGAGTGATGGGGATCGGGCTTGGGGGAAGCTTGTTGTTGTTGTTTGATCGAACCTCGGTGTCTGGCAGTGTGGCATGCATGCATGCGTGCATGCATCGCCTGCAGCCACGGAGTTTAGGATATAAGATTCGTTAACTCCATGAGACAGAGAACAAAGAAGTGCACTGCACTCAATGCACCTTCTTTCATGCCATCAAAATTGCCTTGTGGTTTTTCTTTTCTGCTACAGTACAGCTCCACGCCATCGGTACCATTCCTGGTGTGATGCTACCCCTGTCATCATCCCCTCTCATCCATCCTTGCACTCCGTCTCCGACTCTGACCACAACACTACCATCTGACATCTCTCCACCGCAAAACTCTCCTCCCCACCCCTAACCAATCCCCCCCCCCAACCCTAAACGATTTAGATCTTTAGAAACGTCGCCGTCGCACAAACAAACATTGCCCAGGCCGGCACATTGACTGTTAGCATCCTGGTAAAATTATTGCCCAACCACCCGCGCAGCGCATCATAGTTCTTTGTCCCGATATGCTCCTTGCTGGAGATCCGGGCATTCCACATCATCGAATAGGTGCCAAAGTAGAAGTGCAGGATGGAGAGGACGCCACCCGCGGCGTAGAAGGCCTTGGTCTGCGGGTGGAGGCCGGCGCCGGGGGCGCCGAACGCGTTGATGAAGGCGATGATCAGGGCGAACGGGTAGGACAGGATGATCACCCACTTGGTCGGCTTGGCGAACTCGGCGAACCAGTCCACCACGACGTGGGCGCAGATGTCGTTGGGCTTGCGGAGCAGCGGCGGCGCCAGGAAGGAGCGGAAGGCGTTCTGCTGGTCCCAGGCGCACATCAGCGACGCGGAGGAGATCATCAGCGGGCTGAGGCGGAGGAGGGCGGTGCCTAGGTTGGTGGTTGTTAGGGGGGTGGAGGCGTAGGCGTAGTCTGCCATTTTGGTTTTGTGTTTCGGTGGAGGTGCAGGAGAGGAGTTCTGTTTTGGCTGTGTAGGTAATGCAGCTGTTGCGATCTGGATAATGCAGGGGTGGGATTTATTGGTGTTGTTTTGGTGGTGGTTATATAAGTTGCTGCGGGGCCGAAACCCCGACCGTCCTATGCCGACCCCGAACGCCGAATGAACTACCCTCAATTTACGGAACGAATGATGGAGAGATATCATTCGATTCACCTATGAACTCAGATTCGGTCGGAAAGTACACATTGAAACTAAGTACATCCATCGTATGATCGATCCACCGCCCATCTACTCCTCCTTCTTCACCCACGCCGCCGATCCCGTCGGCAGCGCTGTCGACAGATCCAACAACTCGTCGTAACCGGGGTAGGTCGACTTGTCGTCCACGATGTTGACCACCTCGTTGTTGTCGACGTACTTCTCGATCCACGAGAGAGAGACCACGGTGTGCGCCCGGTTGACGTAGGGCTCCTCGCTGGCCTGCAGCGCCTGGAATTCCGGGTCGTGGTTGACCTTGTTGAGTTCCTCGAAGCTGCGGAAGTAGAATTCGATGGTCACGTCGTGGTCCTGTGGAGTGCAATGGTTAGTCTCTTGGGGGGGTTTCAGGGCAGTCAAGGGGAGAGGCCGGGCTGGTATCTACATCAATCACCCAGCCGCGGTTGTTGCGGCGGTTCATCTCGTCGACGAAGGTCCGGTAGGCTGGTGGGGAGTAGCACTATTGTTGGGTGTCAGATGGGAAGGAATCCGCAATAGCATCCAGGGTCATATGGGGTTGGCTTTACCTGCTGGTAGGCGTAAATCCCATGCTTCGCATGCAGCTTAGCCGCCTTGACCACGTAGTCGCGGGCAAAGTCATGGCCCTCCCCACCCTGGCGGGCTTGCCCTTTGTAGAGTTTGATGGTGAGGCGCAACAGGCGCTCGGTGCGACCTCCAGTTTGAGTCATTGTCGTGAGGATTGTTAAGTTTGAATCGTTCCAGCGGTATGAAAGAGAATGGATTTGTGTTGTTTATTCCTCCAGCATGGAGACAGTAGCATCTAAATACTCAGTTAGGGTTTGGCGGGGTGGCCGGAGTTAACGGAGAGAAGCCTTATCTCAGGAACTCCTAAAACCCACCCCCTGGTCAAGCTTTCATGTCCGATCTCCCTACGAAAGGCTAAATCAATGACATATCACACCAGGAACCATCAATCACATTTCGTGTTTCACATTTAATCCCCTCATCCTAAAATCGTCGCGCATCTAAACTGAAACCGGCATAGTTTCGGCGGTCGGCGATGGCATGGCACCATCGCCACCACGAGATCTCACCATCCGACTGACCAACGAAACTAAACTAAAACTACAGATGAATCTTACGCTCAATCCCGAACATCCGATCCAACCAGGCAAACGACTTGGTGGTCAGCACCGTGAACGCCCCCACCTTGGACTGCAACCCGCCTTCGGCCGTGTCCTCCGCCACCCACATCTCCCTCTGATCCTGGGGAACATTCACCAGCTCCTCAAAAATCCGCTGCGTGCTGACCTCCGGCTGCGAGTACAGCGAGAAGCGCGCGCCCGTGACCAGCACGGGACAGCGGATGCGGGGCAGGAACCCGACCCCGTCCGAGGTGCCCAGCGTGTACTCCTGCATGCGGCGGAGCATCTGCGCGGCGGTGGGCACGCCGAGCATCCAGCGGCCGAAGTCGAACTCCCAGCGCGTCATCGGGTTGAAGCGGCCCAGCAGGCCGAACACGTAGTCCCAGCCGGCGTCTGGCACGAACCCACCTGCCACAAACGTGTTGGTGACGGGGTCGGGCATACGGCTTTTGAGCAGGTCGAACATGGTGTAGAAGGGGTCGACGGCGATGCAGGCGCGGATGCGCGGGTCGGCCGCGCCGCGCAGCGCCAGGTGGCCTCCCATCGAGGACCCCACCAGCGCGATGCGTGCCAGATCCAGGTCGAATTGCGGGTGCGCGGTCGCGTACCCCTCGGTGAAGTCGAGCACCTTGCCCACCACCGTCTCCCAGTCCGGCCGCATGGGCACCCCGTGTCGCCGGATCACGATCCCCTGCCCCGGTCCCTCGAAGGTAAGCACCGCGTACCCCAGCTCGAGCGCTGCCATCGGGAAGATGTAGAAGATTTCTTCCTGCGTGGCATCCGCGCCCACGGTCTGAATCAGCAGTGGTAGTTTGTCACCGGGCAAGCGGGTGGAGGGATGGGGCAGGAAGACGTAGCCCGGGAGGTCGAGCCCTTCCTCGTAGGGGATCTCCACGCGCTGATAGCTCCAGTCGAACAGGGCGGCCGCCCGGCTGAAGTTGGAGATCGCCGCCTCGGAGGCCGTCAGCAGTCGTGAGTCGGTGCCGGGCAGCCCGTTGAGCATGAATTGGGCCGATCGCTGGTAGTTAGCGACGCGTAGATACGCCCGTCGCGCCGCCACGCGGTTCCCGGCCAGCTCTGCCTCCGTGGCCACCCCTTCAGCTTTGTCGGCCGCCTCCATCCATGCTGCGTACCAGCTCTCCACGTCCTGGTCTTTGATGCGGGCTACCGCTGTGAAGAATTCGGCAATCTCGCCGCCCTCGTGCGCGGTGAAACTGAGTAGACGGAGAGCCTCGAAGTTAAAGAAGTCGGACTTGAAAAGACGGAACATGGTGAGTTGTGCGATGGTCAATGCAAGGCGCAGGGTCTGTAACCATCACTTGAACAGAATCAAGGGGGGACTCTTTCAACGTTTTGAGTATGAATGTAAGAGTTCGCCAGATAGGCAGATAGTCGTATGGATGGTTCGGAATTCGGAGCAGTGCGTGGCTTATGTTCGGCAACTAGACTCTATCGCCGGCTATCATCAACCACAGGTTAAGAATCGTCAATGAACAGGACTCGAGGTCGAGGGTGGCATGATCTTTCTCTTTTCTCCATTCCAACCTACAAACACAGTCAGATCAGCGTAATTGAGAAAGAATGTCTGAATTGACTTATCGCATCCCACGTGTGCAGCGGGCGCTTGTGGCGACAGGGCCGGGGAGTCTAGCCCTAAAGCCCGTACCTGTTCTCAAGCCCGCGGGCGATGAACTCCTGGTGCGCATCGCCGCCGTCGCCCTCAATCCGTCTGACCACAAGCTCCTGGATCAATCAACAACCGTTGGGGCAGTCAGCGGGAGCGACTTTGCGGGGACCGTCGTCCGCGTGGGAGGCGATTCGACCGCCCGTTTCCAGATCGGCGATCATGTCTGTGGGATCATCTTCGGCGCCAACCCCGGCAACCCCCGCAACGGCGCCTTCGCCCAGTACGCCGTCGCCACCGCCGATCTGTGCATGCACATTCCTTCCTCCATGGAATTTGCCGAGGCTGCCTCCCTCTCGATGGGCCTACTGACCGCTGGGCTGGCCTTTCGCTCCCTGGGCTTGGACTGGTCCCGACTGACAGAGAGCCCCGACGAGAACAAGAAACCTGACCATTCGAATGATTCAGACAAGCGAGAATATGTGCTGGTGCATGGAGGTGCCACCGCGACGGGAACGCTCGTCATCCAACTGTTGCGGATGGCCGGATACGCGCCCATTGCAACTTGCTCGCCCGCCAGCTTCGATCTAGTGCGCAGCCGGGGTGCGGTGCAAGTGTTCGACTACGCTTCGGCCTCGTGCCACGAGGAGATCCGCGACTACACCCAGGATCGCCTCCGATATGCGCTGGACTGCATCGGCACCATCGAGACTATGACCCTCTGCTACGTGGCCCTCGGCGACACCGGCGGTCGGTATTCGGCGTTGGAGTACTATCCCCGGGCGCTGACGATCCGCCGCCGCGACGTGAAGCATCAATGGATTCTAGGATGGACCCTATTCGGCAACGAAGTGAAGCTCGCCGGCGCCTACCACCGGGACCCCCTCCCCAAGGACCGGGTATTCGGGCGTGAATGGGCGGGGGTTCTGGAGTCGTTGATGGAGCAGGGCCGAGTGCAGCCCCACCCGCTGGAGATCGTCAAGGGCCCTTTGTCGCTGGCGATGGAACAGGTAGACCGAATGCGCCATGGCCGTGTCAAGCGGAAGAAGATTGTCGTGCAGATTCGATCTAGCTAGGAGATGAGTCGATACTAGATAGAGTACCTGCAACGACCTATAACATATATTATTGCTTTACAGACCTCACTTATGCATTGAACGGAACATAGCAGGGAGCTACGAATCATGGCTCACTTCCTGGCAGCTGCTAGCTTGGGGTTCGCAGGCCTTGTAGCCTACTACCTCGTGAACAGTATCTATGTACTCTTCTTCCATCCGCTGGCGGGTTATCCCGGCCCCAAGCTCTGGCTCATCACACGTATCCCCAATGCTCGTGCGCTCCGCAGTGGCCAACTCATGCACCGCATCCGTGGATTCCACCAGCAATACGGTCCCGTGGTGCGCTGGGCCCCGAACGAGCTGTCCTTCATCTCCCCAGACGCCTGGCGCGACATTTACGGCCACCACGGACCGGGCAAGGACTTCGCGCGCAACCCACTATGGTATCCTCGTGCTGCCAACGGGGCGCACAACATCCTGTCTGCCGACAACACCACCCACGCGCGCATCCGCAAGCTGGTGGCCCAGGGGTTCTCCGAGAAGGCCCTCCGCGAACAGGAGCGGTTCATCCAGTGCTACGTCTCGCTGCTGGTGACCAAGCTGCAGGCTGCCGCCGCCGCGCGCCGTCCCATCAACATCGGGGACTACCTACAGTACGCGACGGTGGACATCGCCGGCGACCTGATCTTCGGCGAGCCGTTTGACTGCGTCGCCAAGGAGGAAGCCCACCAGTGGGTGAAAGTGACCTTCGGCTTCTTCCGGCGGCTGCTGGGCGGGGCGTCTCTGCTGATGGTGGCGCCCTACCTCCGCCCGCTGCTGCCCTACCTGGTCCCCAAACGGGTGCAGGAGCAAGCCCGTCAGCGCTTCGCCTTCTCGTGCGCCAAAGCCGCCAAACGCCTCGCGCTGGGCGAGGCCCCCGACCGCAACGACCTGATCACCTACATCTGTCGGTACAATAACAGCCCGAACGAGGCCAAGGGGTCCATGACCATGTCCCGCGCCGAGATCGAGGCGACGGTCGACATCCTCATCAGCGCGGGCAGCGAGACCACTGCCACCGCGCTGACGGGCACGATCCAGTATCTCCTGCGCAACCCCCACACCCTGGCCAAGTTGCAGGCGGAGGTGCGCGGGTCGCTGCGTTCCGCCGACGAGGCCATGAGCATCGCCCACACCACCACCCTGCCCTACCTCAGCGCTGTGCTGCAGGAGGGCCTCCGCATGTGTCCGCCGGCGCCCTCCATCCGGCCCCGGTTGGTGCCCGCCGGTGGGGCGTTGATTAGTGGGGGATTTGTGCCAGCTGGTGTAAGCCTTCCCTCCCACTCCTTTGATTCAGTTCTAGGGCCAAGGTAGCTAAACGCAACGACCTTGCACAGACCTCAGTCGGCATCCCGCCCTGGACTGCCTTCCGCTCCGCCGCCAACTTCGGCAAACCCGACGACTTCATCCCCGAACGCTGGCTCCCGGCCACCCCAGAGGGCGGCGGCGTGGCCATCCACCCGCACGAGGTGCAAGCCTTCCAGCCCTTCTCCTACGGGCCCCGCGACTGTCTGGGCCGTAGACTGGGATGGGCCGAGCTGCGCGTGCTGCTGGCTACGCTGGTGTGGCATTTCGACTGGGAGAATCGCAGCCCTGACGCGCGGTGGGAGGAGCAGGTAGCGTTTGTCATGTGGGAGAAGCAACCGCTATTCTTGGAGTTGAAGAAGGTGCAGACATAGGTGGGCTTTTGCGGATGAACTGGCACTGCGCGTTGTGATACTAGATACTTATGACGATTCGCGTCTAGAGCGGGGCTAAACTAGGTCACCAACTGTTGATCGGGCAATTGGCTGGGCGCCATAGCAAATGAAGATGGATGTATCCTCGTGTTTGTCCTGGCCCTTGGCCGAGCAAGATATATGTGCGAATGGGTTCGATGACCGGGAGCCCGGGGATTTGGCGAGTCTTGTCACAAGATAAGGCCCTGTCATCGGGACGGAGGCTAACAATCAAAACGATATGTGGAGAAAGGCTGTGCGCGAAGGATGGCAAAGCGTCGGGTGTGCTGTTCGCCATATGGTTTGCTGGCGATTTAGCTAATGTTCTCTTGATAAGATGTAAGCTAGAGACCTCTAGCACATACGACCACAGGGTGTGGAAAATAGGGCTTCCCGTCCGCTCAGCCGTACTCAAGCCACCTATTGAACGCGGCCGAGTGAGAAATGAGCCCTTTCTCAGTCGCTGCTTTATGGGTGAGCAACGCTAAGACGAAGAGTGAGTGCGGGTGATTTGGGTGATGCTGTCCAGAGTGTGGGTGAGCGGGGTGAGCAGGGTGAGCAAATAGGTGAGCGATTGAGTGACCGAGCGGGCCAGCTAGGCAACCAAGTGAGAAAATTTTTGAAGTTAAATAGGGCGTTTGGCCTGGTTGTCCATTTCTTTTTTTCTGTTCGATATAATCATGCTCAGTAAACAACTTGAAAAGTGATACTATGTCGAAAATCAGCATGTCACGTGACAATAAATCAGGCCTCTCCGAGGAGGAGCAGAGGCGGAGAAAGGTTGAGGAGCTCCGAAAAATCGGTGAAATACGTGGTTTTACTACAGAGTACCAACAAATTACAAAATGGAAAGTGAATGAGATATGTCACAAGAAGAGAGCTCCGGCTACTGATGAAAGATACAACAGAGCTGTTGAGAATTGGAAGATGTAAGTAATAAAAATACTTTTATACTATGTATACAGACATTACTGACTCCAGTTCAGATGGATGATGACTCAAGGTGAACCTGAAGACAGGTATTT